AATGGGAGAAATATCCAACCTCTTTTCAATTTTTGCAGGGGGAAGGAGAAAACGATTTGAGTTGCCAAAATTAAACATAATAATAGAGATTATTTTCAGCACGTTTAAAAATGAGCACAGAGCTTTTAAGTGAAGGTGTTAGGCCGTAATGGGACAAAAAGATGACATCTTATGCAAAAAAGAAAGAAAACTTCCCTCAGATAAACTTTCTTAAATGAAGACAGAGTTCATTGTTGAAAGTAAAAAGATTTTGCAAACCATATGGAACAAGCAATTTCATAAAATGTACAATTTTACAGAAAGATCTTTTGTAATGTTTTTCTGTATATACATTTGTTAGCTTCTGAGAAGATATTTTAAATGTAGAATCCAAATACTCAATACTTATCTTTTACATTTCTTTCTTGTTAAAATTTCTAATGAGATACTTAATTTTCATCTGAGGTTTGAGGTTTTAAATCATAACTAGGTAACAAAATATCGTTTTGATTGAATGAGTTTAAATGGCAGTATGGTGAATGGAGTTTAAATATTCTCTGACATATATGAGTAATTTCTGGATCTGAATGTTCACATTTGGTTTTCAGAAGTGAAATACTCTTGATTTTGGACTTAAATATCGCAAAACTATTATACTACAATGGTAAAAAAGCATGATGTTATATGGATAATTTATATAGATATATCATTACAGGTAAAATATATTTATTGGCCAAGTATTCCTTTTTACATACCAATTTTTATATTTAATATTTAAAATTTTAGTCTACAAGGGCCTGATTAACAGCTCATGGATAAAACACACTGGTCATATCTCTACTGTAACATCTGATAAAGAACTTTGCTAATCAATTAACATGGGTTTGCTGCCACCCCTCATACTTTATTTAAATAGGCATGTGCTTAACTACAAATGGAAAATACAAAACTATTTTGGTTTCAATATTCATTATTAAGTTTTGTTTTAATGAACCATACAATAAGATTCTTTAAAAATGTGTTAGTTGGAAATTCTAAAATTGATTACTGGTAGTAATAATCACTGTTTAAGAAAATTTAAAATATGCCTATTCCAGGACACCAAAAAGTAACCAAAATTTGCTACTAAGATATCTATGATTCAATACTGAAGTATCACAAATTTGAATTGAATTTACATTGTGTTATGTTGAAAATATTTCTTAAAAACGTGATAACCTGAAAATAAGTTTGTTGAAAGTCAACAAAGACACAAATGAGCCTTCAATTTGAAAAAGCCACAATTCCATTTCTGCAGGTTAACTTTAAAAAAAAAAATCACCCTTAAAAACATTGTTTCATACTTTCCAGGGAGTGAGGGGCATAGCTCAGTGGTAGGTAGCATGCATGCCTGGTATACAGGAGGTCGTGAGTTCAATCCCCAGTGCCTCCATTATTTTTAGGCACATGACTAATGTCCATCCAACTATTTTAATTTTACTGTCATATATTTGCAAATATCTTAATTTGGAGCCATCTGAAAGTGCACCAAAAGCATATTACCAAATGAATTGGAAGCATATTTGTGGTCTGCTTTATTTTCTTTAATTTGGAGTTGTGTGACTTTGCAGACAATCTATTGAGCTCCTGAAACTAAGTAGTCAGTTTTTGGCATTTCAAACAGGGACTGAACTATTCTCACTCTCCCTTGCTCTACCGAAAAATAAAGAAGAGAAAGGATCAGAGACAAAGAAGGAGGAAAGGGGAAGATGTAAGGAAAAAGGAAGAGAGTCTCAAAATAAAGAGTAGGGAAAGGAAATTTTACATATTTAATTTGAATAATTTGCTAACTTAGTAAGAAGAATAGAATTAATGATAGAGGGCAAGAAACTGGTATCTTGGATCAAGTTCTTAAATTCTAACCTTTTCTACATTCTAAGTGTGGATTTTTCATTACACAGTTGCTTGAATTTCCTATTGAGGTTGAGGGGACAGTGATGAGGGACAGACTTAGATACCCAAAACATTCACTAAAAATTTCCCCTTCATATATGTAAAGGTGATAATGTTGCTTAACCAAAAAATGTATTCTGAGTATGATCCTAATGCTAAAATTGATCAGTTCATAACTTCAATCAATAGTTTAACTGTAAATGACTTTGAATATCAGCATACAAATTGTCTACATTTACATGGATTATATTTACTTTCTCTGAGATAATTTAAGTATTTACACTATAATCACATATATAGATAAAAATAAGATTTTGTAATATCTACCTAGAGACATATTTAGATGAGCTTATGAAGCATATCAAATAGAACAAGCACAAAGATTAAGCTTAGTTTGCACCCGAATTTTAATTGATGCCTGAAACATTACATATTTTTGTTCTCCTAAATTCTGTGGAGAGAATTTGCAGGGTTCCTTAATCTAATCATATACCACTGATCTACCACTTTAATTACTGATTCAGAAAACCTGAAAAACCAAAAATCAAATATTCAAAATGACACAAATTATGTTCTATTGTATACGTTAATGTATTGGCAGGAAACCATGTGTAAAGAGAAAATAATTCACTTTTAACTCTATACAGTTTCATAATTCTACATGTTAAAATTTTTTCAAGTTTATTAGGGCAAGGATAAGTTTATTTTTATCCCCTTAATACAGATGTGAAAAGTATAATTTAACAATCAGAATTAACTTCTTTGCATAAATCATATAATTGTTATTTTTTGAGAGTAAAAACTGGTGGACATCTTATGAA